CTAATGTATTTAAATCCTCATACAGAACAAAAAGCTGAAAAGCAAGTTTGAAAAAGTATTACTACTAAATAAATTACTAGTACTACAGTTGGAACTCTGGAAATAAGAAAATGGTTTAAAAAGTCCATTTCACTTTTGTTATTCAACTTACAATGTGAAACTAAGGCTATATCCACACGAAGACAAAACGCTTATAATTTCAGAAACTTTTTCTGTAAACACGGAGTTAGCTCAGTAAATGTGTGCGTCCATATGAATGTAGTCAATACGCCTGAAAACGCTGTGAAACTATGCCAGACCTGTTGGTGGCGCTGTGACGCAATGACGGGATCAAGCCCAAACTTCCGTGGGCATGCGCGGTATTTTGTAAACAGACAACATGGCGAGTGGGCGAGCTGGTACTACATTAGTATGGACGGACGATGAGGTTGAACTGTTGCTTCGGGTCACACTGGATTACAAAACCAACAAGCTACATTGTTGTTGTCATTATTTTCTGAGTGCGGCGCATGCGTGCTTTAACAAGAGGCGGGGCGATGACGCAAGCGTCTCAGATACATTGCGGAGAGGCAGTAACCACGGAGCGGCATATACGGAGTTTTGAAATCTTTCCACTCTGGGACCTAGTTTCAAAAATGTTCGTTTACACCCCCCCAAAACGCCGGCCTCGTATGGACGATACACTGGATTGATAAAGTATTTTTGCGTTTAGGCCTGAGCTTGACTTCGTGTGGACAGGGTCTAACACAGATCGTATATATTTCTTATAACGATGGTAATTGGCTCACAGCTTGTAATAAGCCCAAATAAAACAAGAAAAATCTGAATATTTTGAAAATGGACTGTAAACTATAATCCTCAACATGATAACAGACACAAACTCTGCATCTGTCAATCTGGAGTCTGGCTCATAGGTTGGTTTCACATTATAAGTTCAATTACAGAAATAAATGAACTTCTGAACCATATTATGATAATTTTCACCTGTACTACCTCAGTGCTGACTTCATGAACTAGATGCTAATGTGGGAAGCTCACCTGCTTCTTGTCCCACAACAGTACGTAAAACAAATTGAAGGAAAACTAGAACATGGTAAAATGAAGAAAACTAGATTTGAATTGTCACTGATAATGAGTGAAATCTTGACAATCATGTCTCGGTCATGGATCTATAATAATAACTGGATAGGGTATTGCGAGTTTATAGCTGAAGAACCATGTGCTCGGGGGATTCTCGCGGTGCTGCAGACTAAACAAGACTAAATTCACGTGGGCTACCCAGAAATGTTCCCCATAGAACTCAATGTAAACTAAAACAGCTCGACCTCAGATGACAGAGAAGGTCAGATTTTGTGGGGATTTTAGTGTCCCTTGTCATCCTGAACTTTTTTTCTTCTTAAATCCTTCGGTTTTCTTTAAATCCACACTTTAGTGCCACAAACTCTGCTCGTCTGGCTCCCGCTCTAACTCCCGCTCTGACACGCGCATATTTTTTGCGCAACGCATCATGGGAGATAATCCACTGCGCAGAACCGGGAGGACCAGACGATGCCCAAATACAGGCGAGTTTCCCATGGATCTTTGCGAGTTCCAGACGAGTTGCGCCACTGAGCACAACCATTAATTTGAATACGGCGCCATCTTGGATCACCGGGGCTTGGTCTCGGTACACAATATGGACAATACACAATAAGTCTTTAACAAGTAATGATTCATTTACTGTACATGCATTCACATTGACTGAGTGGTTAGCCCTCTCGCTTCTCAGCAAGAAGGGTGTATCCTGATCTGGCTACCACTAACTAACGTGTACAATATGTAAAATCCTCCAGCTCTGATCCTGACCATGTCGAGCATTAGCATCCAGAGATGGGCCCCGGGCGCTGTGCTACGGTCTCCACTGCTCCTGACAGAGGCCCTAGTGGCATTAACAGGATGGGTCAAATGCAGAGGGCAAATTTCCCAACGGAGAAAATGAAGTATAATAATATATATCTTTTCGTTACATTTTCAGCGACAAATTCCCTTGTCCCTGCGTCTTATCTGTTATTAAAGTCTCCTCAACATCAATTAATATTAATGCATTCCATGTTTCTGCCATATTATTTCAGAGCAACAAAAATCCATGACTAATTGAAATCATTACGCATATTGAGCAAAGTAAATGTTGTTTTTCCAGCTCTAATTTTCTGTGCCTGGTAATTATGATTGCAATAATTGTTCTAACTATATCTTTTAAGTGCATCTCTTGTCAATTTTGCATAGTTTAATCAAGAGTTTAACGCACTGCTGCCCTGCTCCCAGTTTCAGCCTCCAAATTTACAGTATATTCAGTGAGTTGTAAAAGTGCCAATACAAACGTTTGCACATTTTGTCATGTTTACGACCACAAACATGATTTTATTTTGGTTCTTCTTCTGAGAGACTCTCACAAAAGTGAAAGCAAAATGATACGTGATATTTTTAATTATCATTCTTCTTTTTTCATCAAAATACTGAACAAATTTGCTTGCACAGTTATTCATACAACATACACTTTTTTGGAATCCCCTTGCTTGCTTTTGCTTTCACAGCAGCAAGTCTTTTGGGGTACAACTCTACAAGCTATCGCATTTGATAAATGTATTAGTGCATACAATGAGGAAAACATGAAATGTGTATAAAAACCATGTTCCCTCCATTACAAAGGAGTTGCCTATAAACACACTGGCTCGTGGCACAAATGAAAGGATTTAATATTTAGCATTAAAAGTCACATTTATTCAAAATCTACTTAAAGAATCTAGAGAAAAGACATCCACTCAGCAGTTTTATCAGTATAATTCCAGTGAAGGGTGGCTTTAGTTTTCCATAAAAGCTAATAGGCAGCCGTTCTGGTTGAAGTAGCACCAATGCTGACAAACAAAATCATGCAGCTATTTCCCTTATTCTCATCTTTCACACATCGCCATTGTTTCTGCAAACACATCTGCTGGGGACAGATTGGGGCATGTATTCTTCAGAGCCTCAGTGAAAGTACGTCGTGTGCGTGTGGAGAGAACAATGACTGGCATCTACAGTATGTGGATATATCTTGCCTCTCTGGAGATGAGCTGCTGACCTTTGATGATGGGGCCGACTGCGCTTCCTGGTTCACTGCATTAGGCCAACAGAGACCGACTATCGCAGAGAACAAGGCTAGACGTAGTGTATGTACGCATATATGCAGAATGTTACACCCACATGTACAGCGTACCCACCCCCACCCTCCCAGCGCAATAGTCTATCTGATCACATCAATCAGAGCAACACACATAATTGAATTTAATAATTCACTGCCCGCATTCTACAGCAAACTCCAATGTTTACCAGAGAGAATACTATTTATAGATATTTTTCATGCTCGCCTGAAAATAATTGTCTCTGTAAGTGCAATTAGGTGCCGTCTAAACTCTAAAATACAACAAACCAAAAGGACATAATTGTGTATACCTCTGGTTTTATCTTTACCACCACTTGGAAAGCAAAAGCTGCCACCCGCAGACTGAATATTTCTGGGTGGAAGGACGCAATAGTCTTGGTCTTTGATATCTGTGGGGAGTGACAGATCTCAACTTTAATGTCCATCTGGTCGGCAATGGACCCCGCGGTGCCGCCTCAGCCCTCTGCGGCGTTGCCATTTCAGATCTTGACAGAATGCACGTTGCTATGTAAATGGCATCGCACAGTCTGTGCTCCTGCCTTGTGCTGCAGCTGCCGCAATACACTGATTATACATGTATACAAACACAGATGTGTGCTAGAACAACATAGCAGCCTATGTTTGCCTAATTCAAAGTGACTGGTTACAATGGAGGCAGTGTCATGGTCTAATTCTCCTCTGCAGCAATAGGTCAGTGGGGATCGCAGCGCAGGCACAGGTGAGGGGACTGGATATGACTGAAGAACTAAAGGTCACGCCTGTGCAAATTAATTATTCGTATTACTTCACAAAAGGGTTCATATACAGCTCTAAAAAGCACACATACTACACACACTAACCCAGCTGTATTCATTGGTGTGAACTCAGGGTGTTCAAAAAACATACAATTAAATTCAACCTTTTGGTGCTCTTTTTTTCCTGATGTTACCATCGCCTGGAATTGCCACGTCCACCATCACGGCTTTCTTCCGCCCTTTGTCCACCACCACAATGTTAGGTTGGCTCGCCATTACCATTTGGTCGGTCCGTATCTGGAAGTCCCACAGGATTTTCGCACGCTCATTCTTCACCACCTTTGGAGGAGTTTCCCACTTAGACCTTTGGGTTTCCAGCCCATACTCTGCAAAGATGTTTCTGTACACTATGCCAGCCACTTGGTTATGGCGTTTCATGTAGGCCTTCCCTGCCAGCATCTTGCACCCTGCAGTTATATATACTGACTAACAATTATTTCTTAAATGAATTAAATACAAATGCATGTGTCATAGTGTTGGGGTGGATCATTAGATAAGGCAAAAGCTTTTATTTTCGACATAACCAAATCAGATTGCTTAATCGTAATATATGAATTGTATTGAACTGAACACAGTATGTATTGTATCGGCAGGCTCTGACTACATCCCCCTTCTGGGAACAAACTGTTTTTAGAAACTCTCAGAAAGGGCCAGTACATTATTTTTGCCTCTACGAGAACATTTGGTACTGTTTGGAAAAAAACCCACAAAGTCTTGTCATTTTAGATGGAAGAGGACTGTATATTTGATGATATCTGCACTTTTATTTTGATACCAGCTAACACAAAATGTTTTTACCCCCCAAAATGTACCCACAAAGTAGTACTGAAAAATCCCCAAACTCACTCAGAACATATTGGACTGATCTTCGCCACCTGTTATGAGTCAGAGTACATTCAGTCATTGGCAGCTTTTCTATTATTAGCCGAATCAAACTGAAACTGCTCCCTAATTATCTCTTTTAGAAAAACAGACAATATGAAGTGTGAGTCAAGCTGTGCGCGTGGGTGGACCGGAGCACTCACTCTGAGGGCACTGCTCGCTGGTGCAGTTGAGGCTCTGGATGTCGAGGCCCTGACAGTCTTTGCCCCCGGTGCCAGGTGTCGGCTGTGTGCACTCTCTGGTCCTCCACATGGAGCAGTCTGCCCCACACGGCGACCATTTGCTCCACTCTGTCCAGCCACCGTCCACTGAAAGGCAAAAATACACCATATCAAGAGTGAAAACTTTACAAATGAAAAGATTTAAATAGTATATAACCAAAAGGAAAACTGAACTTGGGAAAAGCTCATTTAAAACAATTGTGACAAGATGTATTTGTGCATATCTCTTTTGGTTAATATGATGCATGCTTAGAGCTGGGGTATCTAACTTTATCATAAATAATACTCTTTTTAAACAACCACAACATTAGCTTTAGGCGTGCTCCTCTATTTTTCACTTTTCTGTCTGAAAAAGTTAGTAATCAAAAGTATGACAGAGGCAAAAGGGACATGCGTGTGAAAACTAATGATAGAACCAAGCAATCATCAACCTGGTTTTGAGTAAGGAGCTATTTATATTAATATGAATACATTTATTTTTGTGGTTTGGCAGTTAGTTATCCCAGTTTTAAGTTGCATGGATTGTAGAATAAACAAACACATCATTTGGTATCCACAGAGACTACTCTTCATGGAGGCCATTATGTTAAAATGTTAACATGGTAGCCGCTTTGCATTGTATCAACCAATTCATAATCACATGGACACAATGTCATATGCAAAAAGTCTGTAACATACACTTCATTCTGCATATCATTTTGCATTCAAAACATAGCTGCATAATTACCCAAAAGGCAAGCCAAGTGTATTTGTACAGCACAATTCATACACAAGGCAACTCAAACTGCTTAACAAAACAAGATAGAAACAATAAAATAATAATAAATAATCATGGCACAGTTTTATCCTGGATTTGAACATGTCAGATAAGTCATTTTCAGCAAGAGTGTTCCAGATTTTAGCTGCATAAATCTGAGGCCAGTCTCTGTGCTCCTCAAAGTTTGAGTTGGTTCATATGGAACTAACATGTCCCTTACAGTATATATCTCCATGCAAGGCCATGGAGAGACTTGTGCACAAGCAGAGCTGCTTTAAAGTCTATTCTCTGAGCCACAGGAAGCCGGTGCAGAGACCTGAGGACTGGACTAATGTGTTTGTACTTTCTGGTTCTAGTCAGGACTTTGAATATACTGCAGCTGTTTTACAGCTCGTTTGGAGAGACCAGTGTTCCCCAAACTATACAAAATTAACACTCTACAGCCTTTATTAACAAAGCAAAGTCAGTCTCATCAATGTGTATTATATAGAAAATAAAACTAGCACAAAAAGTCTTTCTAATCTACTCACATTATTTTCTTTTCACATGAATTTGACCAATCAGGTAATATTGGGTCATTTCCAAGGCACGCTAATAAACACATCAGGGCACACCAACGTGCCATGACACACTGGTTGAAAAACACTGGTCTAACCGACTGGAGACAAATGAATGGATACAAATCTCCAAGTCTGCATTGGACACTATATATTTTTGATACTGGCAATTACACAAAAAGTAGGTTATGAAAAATGTGTAACCATTCAAGGCAAAGATACCATCATTATCACATACTGTACCGTATATAAGGATTTATGTCTCATAAAGGCATTTACCCCAAACACTAAAACACACTCAACTCTATCATTCTCTTAGGAAACAGCAAACTGGGGCAGGGACAGGAGAGGTTGCATTCAAATACAATGCATCAAACTCTACTTCATTACATGAGATAGGAATAACCAAATTGTTTTTGTTGTGTGCAACGCAGCTCCTGAAACTTGATCGTGAAATCATTAAAAGGACATGCAAAATCTCAAACCACGCAGAGTGAAACTGCCTAGCAAAGCCTATAAAAGAATGTTTACATTAGACATGAGACACTATACCAGGCTACTGAGCTGGCTATTTTCCCCAGGTCTAAGAAAACAATAAAAATATATACCTATGCATATTTAATGTGTATTATCAGCTGCTTATTTTCTCACGAGGCACAGTCCAACTTATATTACTCGGCAAAGAAACAAATAGTCATTACACCGGCAGCTCTATAAGTTCAAACATTGCTCCATTGCCTCATGGGGGGATGGAAATGGGCTGGTAATAGTACTGGTACCCTGCTGTACAACAGAATAGTTCTGTCACACACACATACACACACGAAGAGGCCATTTTGAGAAGGTGGGGGTAATTTGGCTTCATGGCCTGGGAGGAGACGGTGGCCCGGAGTGATATTGAGAGTGACACAGCGCCAAGCCTGGGGAAGGTTACCATAGGGCTAATGGGCAAAAAAAGGCAGTAATGAGCTCTCATGGGGGTAAAATGCCATTGTCTCGCGTTTTCTCTGTCCCAAAAGTATGGGTGGGGGGCAGGGGCGGGGATGTGGCCGAGACTGGTGCTCGCAGCATACATGTGAGAGTCTCAGTGACAGTCACTGACCCCAGGCCGCCAAAAGCTTAGTGCTCATTAATCCTGGTAATAAAGAGGGTAAAGGGCAGGACCTGTGGAGTGCAGGTCAGACCTATCACATGTAAAAAAAAAAAAAAAATTAGAATCACATTAAATCAAGTTGGAGTCTATAAACCATTACATAGAGCTCCAATCTCCATGTTCTTATGTTTGACAGTTTTTAAAAGAGAAAAAGGAAATAGACATAACTATGCGAACATCAGTCTAGTTTTTGTAATACGAGCAAAGTGTTGAAGCTTTAACTTGAGGTAATAAGACAGGCTCTAAATTTGGCCGGTGAGTGACAGAATAAATGACATGACCAGTTCACTGATTACTCGACTAAAAGAGAGGTGTGGCAAACGCTCTGGAAACTAGAACATTTCTCACTGTTCCCAGGTAAAATATTTATATGCAATTAAAATGCGATTAATAACTGGCCTTAGAAAATATGCAAAACCTTCACCTGAACTGCATGAGAATGGGGAATGGCAGATGGAGAGTAGAACAATGAACTGTGGCCAAAACTCTCTGGATGATCATTTTCAACAGAGATCTTTCAGTGAAGAATGGTCCAGGTGTGCGCAGCGCTCTGGAGTAGGAGAATGTGTTTAGAGTGTGTGAACGATGCTGACACAGCGCGGGCCTCTCTGCAGTCGGATCCATTTGGCAGCGAGAGCAGAACCAATCAGATAATTGTCCTTGTTTGGCATTGAGTGGACCCATCCGTGGGCCAGTATAGGCTGATTATCCAGGCCGGGAATGAGAATGATTGAATAGTGAATTACATCCTAATGAATATATTATGTCGGCCCCTCGGTTTATCCGTGCTAAATGTGAAACAAAGAGCTAAGAACAACAACTGCCCTGATGAGGTGATGAAATTCCTGCTCTGAATCTCACCACAGACTTGACTAATGCCCATGGAAATAACCTTCTCAGACCGCCTGATTGCGAACAAAGCTCCCCCTCTCGGTGGTTCAGTGAAGATCAACACTTTGGTAACAGTGGGTTAGCTTGCTTATATGGATTCAAGAAAATGGCTCACTACATCAAAGAAATATTCAAACTTAATTTTTTTTTTTTTTTTACTTTTATTTTCACACAAAAAAACTACAACCCACGCAAAGCTGTGCCTATTAAATTGAAAAATGTTATTAACGGCACAGCTAAGAGCCCCGCGGACGCTTTTCAATCAGGCCGCACTACAGGTTTCAGGTCAGCCAGGTCTCCAAGGAGGAACAGCTGTACAAAGACCCAGTGGCAGGTCCCTATTTGAACATGGCAGCTAAAAGGAGCGCGGCAATAGGAAGAAGGTGGGAGGCCAGTGTTCGAGGCAAAGCTCTTCAAAAATCACAATAGCTCCTGACTGCCATTGCCTGAGATCATTGGACACCCATAGAGTCCACATCCTCCAAAGGGCGGAGACAAGCAGCCCTGCGAGATCAGCAGGTCGCCTTGCTCCATGCTCACGTCAACACACGTGTGCACAGCGAGAGGCCCCCAGAAGTCCAAAAAACAAAAGCGCGTTTGAGAACAAGCCAAGATCATGTGAGATTACCGGTTGTAATTTCATCATTTTCATTGGTTCATAAAAGGATTGTAGGAAGTCATTTTGTGCATTTTCTCAGGTCACTTCCTACGAATATGTTCAACAGTATTAAACACATTGATCTGGATCCTTGAATTTACAGTCATCACTGCGTGCCAATGAGAGGTTAGGGGTGTTGTCCAATGATTTGATATTTTGAGAGTTTACAATTTGAGTTTTATTTTGTTGTATTTTAAGGCACCATCTACAGTCTCACACTCTGGTCTTACAAAAAGAAGACACTTGTTAGACATCCGGGGGGTGTTGGGCGCAAAGATACAAAGCCCACTGTCTGCACTCCACGGCTTCGAGAGGCGACTCTGCCCAAGAACCTGTTAAAATAAAAGTTTAATACTTATTTCAAGGCCAAAAGTGCAATGAGTGCACTAATCTATAACTTCTATGGTGTCCCCTGTTTGCCATAATCATAATGCAAGACAAGGTAATTATAGGTGACATTCTTTAAAAAATAATAATAATTGTGTTCTAACCGTGTATGTAGAGTCTGTGCAAGGAATTGTTGTGCATGGTTTATTTATTTTGTATTAAATGGCAGTGAAACAGTTACTAATTACAGCACAGAATGGATCTTAAAAGATGCTGGGAGAAAATCAATACATGGATCGAGACCTTGTGTTAACTAAGCAACCAGAAAAAACTCAAAAAGAAGGAAAAAACGAAACATATTGTGAGAAGTGCCTGAACAAATGGTAGTTGGGTACATGATGTGAAGCCAGTCTGTCACCAGATGGACAGCAAAGTATTATCCGCTGTCATTTTTAAGTTGCTATTTATGCATCTCAAAGCTCAAAATGTTTCTCAATTTTCATCTTCTCAATATTGTCTATAAAAGCTGAGCCTACAGTGCAGACAGAAGACATAAAAACAAGATGCGCACAGGCTGTTTGCAAAAATACAGCCGCCCCAAGTCTGTTTATTCTTCACCTCACGAGTTCTCTAGCGAGCCTCAGGAATCAATACATTAGTTAAATTATTCAGGTTAAAGTTGGAGGATACGCAAGTACTGTACATGCAACTCAGCTTATTCATTTTGTTTGCATAAAAAATGGTCGTTTTTGGACCAGGTTGTGTTGCTGAAAATGGTACGGTTTAGCTTGAGGCACTACTTTTTTATTGGCAGTGAGTTGTCTGGTATCACAATCAATGAGAGGATGAGGACAGCCGTCTGCGTTTCAGTGGGTGCTTGAGTGTTCTTTCTGAATGCAGGAGAGCGAGGAGAAATGGAGATAAGCCGGTGCATAGCTGGACTGTTGGCTGTCTGTGCTGTTGATCTGCGGTACTTTGAGCCCCAGGCTTTAGCCGCCGCCTCCTCCATAGCTCCCTGTGTCTCACTCAGCATGGAGCCCATCTGATCCACCACACAGGACCCGCCAACTCTCATTAAACATGCTGAGACTTAGACAGACATACAGAAGAATTCATGCTTCACACTTTCCAGCAAGGAGAGCATACTTTAAGAACTCAGAATCGTCAACCTCGGATCCGGTTATCACAAAGTAACTATGTTTGTTTGGACCCAAACTCTGAGGAAACTGAGAGTAGAGAGCCTCCAGCAGCCATGACAACCACCAGAAATACCAAATCGAAATTGATGGTACAGTACAGTGCCATGCGAAAGTATTCGGCCCCCTTGAACCTTTCAACATTTCGCCATATTTCAGGCTTCAAACATAAAGATATAACATTTTAATTTTTTGTCATGAATCAACAACAAGTGGGACACAATCGTGAAGTGGAATAAAATTTGTTGGATAATTTAAACTTTAACAAATAAAAAACTGAAAAGTGGGGCGTGCAATATTATTCGGCCCCTTTACTTTCAGTGCAGCAAACTCACTCCAGAAGTTCAGTGAGGATCTTTGAAGGATCCAATGTTGTCCTAAATGATTGATGATGATAAATAGAATGCACCTGTGTGTAATCAAGTCTCCGTATAAATGCACCTGCTCTTTGATAGTCTCAGGGTTTCTGTTTAAAGCGCAGAGAGAACCATGAAGACAAAGGAACACACCAGGCAGGTCCGAGATACTGTTGTGGAGAAGTTTAAAGCCGGATTTGGATACAAAAAGATTTCCCAAGCTTTAAACATCTCAAGGAGCACTGTGCAAGCAATTATATTGAAATGGAAGGAGTATCAGACCACTGCAAATCTACCAAGACCCGGCCGTCCCTCCAAACTTTCATCTCAAACAAGGAGAAGACTGATCAGAGATGCAGCCAAGAGGCCCATGATCACTCTGGATGAACTGCAGATAACTACAGCTGAGGTGGGGATGGTGTGTTCAGGGTGATGAGCTGTGTTGCTTTTACGCCAAACATATCGTTTTGCATTGTGGCCAAAAAGTTTGATTTTGGTTTCATCTGACCAGAGCACCTTCTTCCACATGTTTGGTGTGTCTCCCAGGTGGCTTGTGGCAAAATTTAAACACAACTTTTTATGGATATCTTTGAGAAATGGCCACTCTTCCATAAAGGCCAGATTTGTGCAGTGCACGACTGATTGTTGTCCTATGGACAGACTCTCCCACCTCAGCTGTAGTTATCTGCAGTTCATCCAGAGTGATCATGGGCCTCTTGGCTGCATCTCTGATCAGTCTTCTCCTTGTTTGAGATGAAAGTTTGGAGGGACGGCCGGGTCTTGGTAGATTTGCAGTGGTCTGACACTCCTTCCATTTCAATATAATTGCTTGCACAGTGCTCCTTGAGATGTTTAAAACTTGGGAAATCTTTTTGTATCCAAATCCAGCTTTAAACTTCTCCACAACAGTATCTCGGGCCTGCCTGGTGTGTTCCTTTGTCTTCATGGTTCTCTCTGCGCTTTAAACAGAACCCTGAGACTATCAAAGAGCAGGTGCATTTATACGGAGACTTGATTACACACAGGTGCATTCTATTTATCATCATCAGTCATTTAGGACAACATTGGATCATTCAAAGATCCTCACTGAACTTCTGGACTGAGTTTGCTGCACTGAAAGTAAAGGGGCCCAATAATATTGCATGCACCACTTTTCAGTTTTTTATTTGTTAAAAAAGTTTAAATTATCCAATAAATTTCGTTCCACTTCACGATTGTGTCTCACTTGTTGCCGATTCATGACAAAAAATTAAAATTTTATATCTTTATGTTTGAAGACTGAAATGTGGCGAAATGTTGAAAGGTTCAAGGGGGCCGAATACTTTCGCAAGGCACTGTATATCAAGCTCAAGGAGTTTGCTGCCTTAAAATGTATTCCTATTCCCAATTGAATATTTCCTTCTCCTGGCCCAGTGCAGTCTAAAGGTCGAGATATTAAAAAAATAACAATCAATAGAAAAGACAAGTATCTGTACTTGCATACTTTTCCTGTGTATATGAATTTCATTTGAGAATATTATTTTGACTCCTTACTTTTATATGCTATTTAATCAACAATACTGTATCTGTGTCTTTGACTGCGAGAGTTATTACTGAAACACATGCACAAACCATAAAGTCCATGGACATTGTCTGTAACCTAAGAATTTTTAAACCTTAAAGTATGATAATCTTGCTTCTCAATAAAATGTTTCTGGGTTTGAGACCCAGGCGGCACAGAGGGTTTCTGAGTGGAGTTTGCATGTTCTCCCAGTGTCTGCCCAACATGTCTAGAAAACATTATTACCCTATTTTAATGGGCAAAAGTAATGCACACAATTTCTTGTTTAAGTAAGGGAATGACACACTCAGGGAACCTCACTTATTTCATAAATACATTTTGCCAAAAAGGAGGAATCTTGAAAGAGTAACATTTTGTGAACAAATCAGATCACAACATGCTGTATTTATCATATTAGAAATAAATGTAATGTGACTTACAATTTGACTCTCTGGGTAACGCAAACCTGATCTTAACATACAAATACATTGTTTTAAGAGCTATAAAAATAGTTAGATGGATTGCATCACATTTTTGGTGGTTTCTAGGTACCCAAACTCTGTGAGATCAATAAAGTATATCTTATCTTATCTTATCTTTAAGTACTTAAAAGGAGTAAGTTTACTAAATCAAACTAACTTTTGAGCTACTTTTCATTTTGAATTCTGTCTGCAAATAAACGTCACACGAGTTCACTTATCTGACAGCATAACTTTAAAAGGTCAGGCGCGGCAAATCCTAAAGCCCATTAAAGTGCAAAGTCCATCTGCAACAGATGATTCTGAATCCAAAGCAGAAAAACAAAGAGGATTTTGTAAAAAACCCTTTCAAGTTCATTAGCTCAATGCACTAGAGAGCAAATAGTCAACAAAGAATCCTGCTCTAGATAATTAATGAACTCTTGAAACAAGACCAGCATTAAATTATGCAATTTGAAAACTGCTTCAAAACAAAGGCACAGTAGAGGAAAGAACACACTCAAGGCGAGTATAAAGAGAACAACATAGTCTTTGAATCCAAATGTGAATTAGCTGAATAAGTGGATGGTATAAATGGAGTTGCATCACAGCAACTGCATTTATAAACATTTTGTGTGTGCAAATGCACAGATATTTGCGCTCAGATAAGGTATAATAATGCAACGATAGTAAGATGGTCTTTTTCAAAACCAAAGTATTATGGTGGAGTTATTGAATTCATAAGTGAACAGTCGAAAACAGTCAATTCAGCACAAAGCCAGTGATCCAACATCATTCACAGCTGCAGTGTTTGGGGGCCATCAGGGACCATTGTAGACTACAGTGCAGTGACCTGTGCCCGGAGGTTGGGTCCGTGGCAGGTGTCAGGAGAAGGCTGGAGGTATTCTCAGAGGTGTAACAGCCCAGACGAACACCACTGATAGAGGTGCTCAAGGGTCACATGGTTGTGGAGATTCATCAACAGGAAATGGGAAGGGATTTCTCTGACTTTCCAAACAAGGCACTTCTGTCGAAACACAGACACAGATTCTCCTTGTGGACCAGCGGGAGGGGTCTTCTTTGGTAATATCTTGGAGTGACATTAATCACTGCAAGTCTCTTCTTGGTTACCATGGGACAATGGCAGGCATCCCTAGGACACCCACTCTTTGGCCCAGTATTCCTGTGGGTAATGTTACTTACACTCATGCTTGACATCCAGAGATATCTTTACATGGGATTTACGCAACACAACACTCTGATTTACTGAGGAAGATAAGCTTAGTTTTAGGCTGGGGAGGCTTTCACGGCTCGGGTTAGGTTCCTTTGCGAGAGGGAGATCTCCTGCGGTTAGCATGAGGCTAGGCCTATACATCTACACACTCGTGAGCTGAGAAAGCCACTGCAGACAGTGTATTTGTTGGCTTTGTCCCCTGCCATTCTTGCACTGTATCTAGTTGCATCCTTTTCCCCAGTCCTTGTCCCTGCATCCTCGTCTCTCCTCCTGCTCTGAGTCGTACTGTATCTGTGCCTATATCAGAGGCTAATGTGCAACTGCAAATGAAGCAGCTTGACTTCCATCTCGGGCTACAAGAGATCAATAAGTGCTGCTCACTATCAGGCAGGATAGTGCGCCTGGTGCACACAGGAGAGTGGGACGGCAAATGAAACACACTTAATGCTTAACACATAAACATGGCCCACTGGCAGTGATAATTCAGCTTTTATGGCCTGTATTTACTGCAGAGCTGGTGCCACAACCGCAGGGACTCCTGACACATTGTTGTGGCCAGGAACATGTCTCTTAAAGCAGACAGGTCTCTGAATTCAAAGGTTCTGGAGAACTAACAAGATTAAGAGATATGAGAACAAAGCAGGATGATCATAGATCACAGTTAGCATGACGCTTTTTGTGAAGAGAAACTGGCTGTAAAAGCGGCTAATAGAGACAAACAACACAAGCACTGACTATGAGAGGGCCAGGAGGTGGTAGTACAGACGCACAGCCAAAAAAGAAATAAAAAATGAAGATGACTTCTGAATGCAACAAATGCAGAGAGAAAGCCACTGAAGCCAAGCTGGAGCACAGATGGGCATCTGAGTTACCTGGACAGGTGGCCACACAGGCACTTTTCTGGACGCTTTGCCCCTCACATGATGTCCCTCCATTCAGGGGCGTAGGGTTGGTGCAGCTTCGACTTCTCTTCTGCCAGCCCCGGCCGCACACGGCACTGCAGGATGACCAGGTAGTCCACGTGGACCAGCCACCGTTCACTGCATGAGGAGCACCCAAGGAGGGGTGAGGGGTGAGGAGGGAGGGACAGAGCAGCACGCATTACCTAACATGCACCAAGGATAATCAAAATGAACCCTAACCCTACGGTGCAACAAAAACAAAAAAGTATCTCCCCGATTCATGTTACATCAACCAAAACAAAATAATTTCAGTTTGATAAACTCTACCTGACATGAAGAACAACCAAACATCAATCAAGACATAGAAGAACACGTCAACCAATTGTGAATTGAAATCATTCTTTCACTAATTCCAATCAAATAGTGAGGCGGGGAAAACTATATTTTTGAGCTTTTAACCATGTAACAACATTGCTCGCTCCCTTATCAAAAACAGACCTGGAGTTGATTTTAGATCTAACACCAGACTAAATATCACAAGTCAATACTGTAGGTGTGAGATACAATTTTCCATCGCCATTCATTGGGCGCCACAAATGTCTTTCATATGCGTTTGCTCAAAACCAATTGGATCAATTCTCCCTGATAACGTATGTTGAGCCACATCAAAAGGGAAGACGCAAAAAAGACAAATTATGTTTAAACAGTGGTGATGAACACTTTTGTTTGTGCAAGTTAAACATGGGGGAGGATAGCTTCTGCCACAGCTGGATCTGTAAACAAACTACAAGCTTCGTCACTGCGTTGAAATATTCGTCCCTTCCCATTCTATGATTGGTCCCCAAATCCATGTGAACATTTCTACCAAGGGTTCCATTCTCGTTGTGCAGTTCCATCGCATATATAACATATAGCATATGACACTGCCCCTCCTCTCTCAGTCCAGAAATAATATTACAAAAATTAATTGTACCATACCGCGCATACATTATATATATACATACACATATGTATATATATATATATATATATATATATACATACACATATGTATATATATATATACATACACATATGTATATATATATATATACATACACATATATATATATTCATACTGTCAGAGAAGAAAGTTATGCGTTGTGCATGAGAGTGTTGTGCTCATGTGTGTGTGTACAAACTACAGCGATGTGCCTCCTGTCGTTTTAACACAGCAGGCACATGCAGCCGGTATTTTTCAAATATTGAAAACAAATCCTCCCTCTGGTAGCATAGGGATTGCATAGGGATAGCAGAGGGATAGGACAGGTAAATAGCATTATTTACCCTTTATACATGTTTCTTATAATATTTTCTCCTGCAGATATTATTATCTAAAACAAGACATGACAAAGTAAATAGTCTAATTAAAATTTCAAATTAATAATTTGCATAATTTTTCTGTATAACTTTAATTTATTTGACACTACAACAAGGACATTTACATACTCATTTTGAACGGCCAGTGAAACAGCACTTTGCAAAAGACATGGCTGCATGAGGAGCTTTATAACCGTTCATCGCGTGCTCGTGACGCATAACCATTTAATGTTCTTTCATGAACTGTATGCTTTTCCCTCTCTTGTGTGAACAGTGTAGCCGTCAATCCTTTTCTTTACATACTTCGTTCCTAATTTTCCCTTCAGTCTTTTCAGAGCTTGTCGTGGCTGAATCATTTCCTCGGCCTCTCTCTGCGATTGATTGGCCGCCACTGTGAGGTAAATTGCTAGGCAGCTTGGCCCCTGATTACCTCTCAGAAGCAGAAGCAGACGCAGTCGCACCAGCCAGCCGCTAAAATGCATCCCTGCCGCCCCCCCACATCCCCGTTGACCCTGTTAAAAAGTGGAGGTTATTATCGGATGAGCCATTTTGGAGGATTCTAACGCTTTTTTGGATAAATTAAGTTTTCCAATTGTCAACAACACGGTCAATACAATCGTGCAGACTGGGACACAGCAAATCCACTCGACGCTTCTTGAATTGTTGAGGCTTGTTGATAGCTAATAGCTGATTGAAATGAATCGAAAATGGGGAGCTTGAGGCGTGGGCTGCAGTAGAATGTGCTGCGTTAGATCAACACACATTTCATTTGTGACCACTTACCGTGAAAGTGCACATGCCTGAGTTGCCAATGACATTCATGGTCTGCGTAAATGTTCAAGCTCCAGCCAATTTAGGAGATTTAGATTATAATCCAGTGCCTATCAAAGCCACTTATGTTTAGGAAATCAAAGCAATCTTACCTATTCTTGCATCTTACTTTGGCTTTGTGTATTTGACTGCACTGGAGGGACTTCTTTCTCTTGCATTCCCAGATGGTTTAATCTCCCGTTTGGAGCCTTCGCCCACATGCTAATTTATGCAAAAATGTAGTGGCCCTGTGAACAAACCCCTCTGTGTTTTTAATAAAATGTTGTTTCGCTGCATTTTAATAAAGGTCAGTCTATTTATCAAGCCAAGTTGTTATTTACACACACATTGTTTACTGATATTGAAGACAGGGAAGTGTTTAGTCGAGGATGTTTCAAGGTGCGCACATAATGATGTTTTCTCTTAACTTGATTATGATAAATTGCAGGTGTTTTTTATGCTGCAAACTTTATGGTGACATGCAAATTTTTTGAGACCTTAACCCAGTTACAAGCAACATTATTCCCTCCTCAGAAACAGCTGGAATTGTTTTAAGATCCATTCACGCTATTATCAGGAATTTCTTTCACAAACTCCGCCCCTTTTCTCAGTCCTGTAATACTATGATGCCATTGTACCACACTGACAGTTTTCTGCCTTTCAAAACAGAAGTATTGCCCATAAATCAGTTACTTACGTTCTATGCAATTACATGGCTGCTAACTTCTACACCTCCCTCTGGTGGTAGCATGGGGAGTTACAGGTGGAAATAATGTGTTACTCTCTCTGCTTGTTTCTTCTTATTTGTTCAACTAAAATATAATTTCACACTCTAAAACATAAAATGACAAAGTGAAAAGTCTCACTATTATATTAAATGGCCAAAAATATTGCAAAATGATCTCCTCTTTAAGCTATACTTGGGGACATAAATGCGATTACTGTTCATCCTTGTTAAAACCATGCATAAGGAGCTCATATGCAAAACCAGAGAACAATTCAAATCACCATTGATCGGTAATATTCAGTGCTATATGAATATTTCAACAATTATTCCACGTAGGACACAATTTTACAACTCAAATACTGATCTTATTTGACTTTGCAACTGCACTATAGATACAGTCCTTATTAATGCAACCAGTCCCATTACAAAAACAAAACACCGACACGCACTCTTCAAGCCTGGTGCAAAACAAACACATTACAAGTACTTCTCATACATTTTTGTAAACATCTGTCCTTTGACATCGCAGGCGGCCCTTATTTTGATTGGCCTCTGCAGTCGAAAACCCAGTATTTACGCTGCAAAGCAAACAAGGCTCCCTGCCATGTCAGTAATAATGGTGAACTGTGGAAACAGCGTGCAGACACAACATGACTGATCTGATTTATTTGTTGCCATGTTGTTTTTAATATCGCAAAAAGACCTTCCATTAGCCCCTCTGCCCCTCACCTGGACTCCATTTGAGAAAAGCAGTTGTCTCTTACCGTAGACCAGGACTGTGGCGGAGGTGCTCTTGCGGCGAGCCACGATGTTTTTGGCCACGCATGTGTAGTTGCCCGTGTCCGCCAGCCGGGCCTTTTTGATGACGAGATTGTGGTCGGCGGTGATGAAAAAATTGGGGTCGCTCACTGGGTCAATAACATCCTCGTTTCGCTGCCACTCCACCTGCAGACACACATATATATATTTATACACACTTCAGTCAATAACTACTGGTGAGAATAGACAGTGACAGTTTGATTTGGTTGAATTATTGTAAAACTACTTTTACACTTGTGATACGCGCTGAAACACCCCACACGGGAGAGTTTCAAAAATATGTTATGACATTAAACAAAATCCATTATGTTTGGTACAGACATAAATTAAAGAACAGTTAGAAGTGAGAGGAAAAGAGGAGAAAAATATGAAAGTAAAACCGTTTGTGATAGTTGTGCTTAAGTAATTCCTTGTTACAAAAATGAGCCGCATGAAAACTCCCCACGGACCCCAATTTACAAAATGCTGGATCGCCGTGTTGCGAAAATGCATAAGATAGTCTTTCCTTTATGTATCCCACAGTGGGAATAGTTCAAAGTTAGAGTAAACGTTAAGTTCTATTATGTTTTCTTTACGTTATTGTCATTTTTTCAATCTTTAACATTCCTCAAAAAAAGAATAGCACCATTTTCTAGATCGTCTCTAGTACCTTTAAAGCACTCTTTCCTGGCTGAAAACGCTGTGCGCTCTGAATAATAGTACTTTGTAGAATGAGTCTGACCTCTACAGAAGCCATAACTGATGTTTTGGTGTACTTTGAGATTGGCTTGCTTGTTTTCCTGCTCTCACTTGACCCAGTGCTGTCTAGAGAGTAGCTAGAGTGCTACAGTGTTGTTGTTACTTTGGCAGCCTGTTGCAATCGCGCATGTAATTGGGCCCTCTTCCTCTTCTGCGCACCACTCTTGCAATTGTTTGACTTTTGTTCTCATAATGTTTTGAACTTTGATCGGCACCTCACCGCCATTTTTTCCTGTCCCGACAATAGAGCATCTATGTGGGTGCTTTTCTTTTCTTTTTCTTCCCCGTGTGAGGTCAACGTAGTGTAAAGTTGGGACCAAGAGATTCATAGCAGACAGGGCCAGAGTAAATCCAGTCACCCGGACCTTAGCACAGACCCAACTCGAATCCACTCAGACAGATGTGACGGCACAAATATAGAAAACAGGAAGAAAGCGTCACAAATAGAGACATTAATTATGAATGGGCCTTTGGAGATGCCAAAGGTGGAGTGAAGCGTTTCCTAGACTTTCTCGACTGATGCGATGAGCCAACCTGATATAGGGCTTGGCTGAGATGTAGGAAAGATAATAAATCAATAAAGGGAAATAATTAGAGGCGTAATTCATCCTGGTGAAGCGCTGAGCTGCTCCTGCGCCTGGATTTGCTCCCTGTCCTCTGCAAGGGAAGGAGGAAATGGATGGCGGATTTAAAGGGCTATAAATAAGGTGTTTGTGTGTGTGCGTGTGTGTGTGTGTGCGTGTCTCACCTCGGCCTGTGGCACTCCCTCGGGGGGATGGCAGTGCAGTAACACCTCCTGGTCCAATGCCACATCTTTACCCTGTGGTTCCTCCTCAAAGTTCTTCCTGAGGTCTAGTAGGAGAGGTGAAAAGGAAAAGCAACCAATTACAGGGAGCTGACATGTTGTTAACCATTTCCCTTTTCTCCAGTCGGGGACAGAAAAATACAACTGATGATGAGCTGAGCTGAAAAAACCATGAAGGACGCAATGTGCATTATCTTTTTACTGATCTGCTCATTATGGGAGTACCAATGCTTTGTCCACGATACATCACAATGTACAACTGCCACGGTGCACCCTGTTGAACGTTTTTGATTCACCTTGGTCCGTGTTGTTCTCACCTGGTCACAAATGGGCTGAAATCATCCATCTGTCAATTCCTCTTATGCTTGTATGCCTCAACACCGTGAGATCCTGCACCTCCCTGAAATAAGTCTTTAAGTGAAAATTTCCCCAACCGCCGCTGTGCTGTGACTAGCTATTTGTGTGTGTGAGATTTTGATTCAATTTTAATGCGTGTTATGGATTGCAATGTATCGTGAATTGAGGGTCCTTAATCGCGATATGAACCGAATTGGGAGATTTTTCTCATAACCCACTATAGAATAGAACTGCTGTTACAAATCCTTTGTCATACGTGGCACAATATATGTTTTCCTTTGCTTATTGTCAATGCTGCTTTTTTTACGTGGAATTTGTTCACAGTCTTGACTCTGCCAATAGCATGCTAAAGACTCTATTGATGTATACAAAAATTAGAGATTTTCCCCATAATTTTGAACAACCCCTTGCAGGCATGGAAACCTTTGGAGTGAGGTTTTTAGAGAGCAAACACTTTTAAATCCTGGCTTGTTGCTCTTTCTTAATTTCCCTCCTCTTATATGGCTGGGGTTCTCGTTCTGGCTCTGTCGCACTCCAGTTGGTCCCTTAAGCCACACAGGGATCGGTGGCACCAACCATGCTGCTTATTACCGGCTTCCCGCTTGGTTCAGAGATGCTTGTCTGCAGCCAGAGGGTCCCGGCATAAAGTGAAAGCAATTGCATTAGCCCTCATCCCTCTCTCCCCTCTCTCCCCTCTCCTCCAGCATCCTGCAGCCTTCCATCTGCACGAGAGCTTGGAGCCGCCACACCAAAACAAAGCCCTGAGGCGGCTGGACAAGAGCTCCTACAAGCCTGGCTGCCTGCACTGGGCCTAGCTTTCCCTCTCATTGAAAACTATCACAACTGCACCAACAAACGTACCCCTATTTATATATATTTGGTGGTGAGCCAGGCTATGAATTACCCCGGTAAAAGTGCTACAAGCCATTTCCTTCGAGGACAAATCCATGACAGAGTTAGCAGAGGTTAACGTAAAGCGGTTTTGTTATAGATTTGTAAAGGGCAAAGGGCAAGTGAAAGAGACATGTTTTGACCAGCCCTTAGTCCTATCCAATCATAACCACTGTAAGATAAACACAGTGTTCCATAAAATCTGTTGTAAGTCCATCTAATAATAGATTATGATTGGAGGGTCCTCAGAGGCGAGAGAAAGTACGTAAATATGATGGGTACATAGTGTATACATCATTATAAAATTGCCTTTGGATGTTCTTTGCATCAGACTGACTTCACTGAGCTCCTACACAAGTTGTGTAATGAGAGTTTGCTTGTAGTTGCCAGACGGCTTAGTTCAGCTCTCCAGTTATGCATATTTATATGAGATTTAATAAGCACAATGCGGTATAATACTCCAATGTAAAAAGCTCTTTTTCCAAATAAAGCTTTTGAGACTGTGATTCGGGATGTGCCTGTGTTCCCAGGACAGATTTATGATAGCTGTGTAGAAATAAATTTCAGATCTGTTTTTATTCCAGTGACTTTCATTGGGATCACTGCTGATACTGTGCATCCAGTGAATAATGCACTCATGAATACTCAAATTTAGTGTTCCACTTTTTCTACAACTCTTGCCTTGAGGAGATGCATTTCTCTTGTACTCTGCGCTGGCTTTGACATTTGTTCTCATAAGCAGAATTGTAATCACTGTGATGGACTGTGGTGCATCAAATCAAAATGGCCCAGGGGCTAATTGGTAAATAAACGCTGGACGCTCTCACAGCTCAAACATGTGGTCATGGCTTTCACACAATTAGCATTAAGTCGACTTAATGTCCCACATTTATGTTGTATTACGTAAATACTTTCAGCTTGAAGACATGTCTTAAAGTCCTATCTTCTTTTTAATGTGACTGTCAGTTACTGAATTGTGAGAGAAGAGATTGCATTATTTTAAAAATGAAATACAGTTGAAGTTCTGACATCACCTTTAAGTGCATGGGATTGGTTTCCATGTTTTGGTTATACATTTCTTGGTTGAAGTGGTTCCCTCTATGTCTAAGATTGCAGAAGATGGGTTGGAATTTGATGTTCATAGACTTACATTAAGACGAGATGAAATATGCCCTTGCCTACGGTGGAACATGTGACGGTTTTCTGAATCAAATGTTGATTTTGTTTATCTTCGCAGCAAAGATATATTAATCCTCTTATAATATCATAAATCATTTGGAGAAAGAAGAGCTATTTGGATTTTCTCCCACACAGCATGAGGCCGGAGATTTTTTGTGTGTGTCATTCATCCAACAATGGAAAAAAACAGTAAAATTGGGATTTTTATATTGAATCAAAAGTGTAATGATAAAACACCAGTGGCGGCCGGCCAATAGAGGGCGCTAGGGCGCCGCCCCACCACTCACAACTTGCCATGTTACCTTGAATAAAACGTTAAAAAAAATAATAACATTAAAATATTTCGAAATGTATGTGTGTTTTATTTCAGATGTGGAAGAAATACTTTATAGTTTATGCTGAGTTGGATTGATTAAGCTCATCAGCGTTGTCTGTGTCGGACTGAGGACGTATTTCCGCCTCAGGGCGCAAAAGATTGCGCCCTGAGGCGTCTATGGACTCTCGTTAAAAGTTGTACATGCGCAGTAGCTCCTCTTCAATGCAAGAGATAAGACGATTTGGGGGCGCAGGAGAAGTGCGCCCTGAGGGGGCGGGATCGCCCGCGACCTGTACTGTCACTGTCTGTGACGTCCGTTTACAGTGATTGACAGGTCAAGCTGTGGGAGTTTGAGACGAACGTAAAGAGACGCAAAATGGAGAACGAGAAAAAGAATAATTCAGTTAGATCACTCAAAACAATACCGTTTGAGAGAAGATCATACCAGGAGAAGGTTGAGGTTAAAGAGCTTGGACCTGATCAGCCAAATATTACCATTAGTCAGCAGTCCAGGACCTGGTTCAGCGCCAAATCTTGGCTAGCAGCATGTAGCGAGGCTAATGCTTTATTTTGCTTTCCATGCCTCTTGTTTCAAACATCAGGATCTGACCCAGCATGGATCAAGACAGGTATGACTGATCTGAAGCACTTTTTAGAAAAGAAGCATGAGCAGACTGGTATCCACATGCAAAATGCCCTCAAATTAGCTATGTTTGGGAAGATAAATATTTCATCCCAGGCTGCTGGATGAAAGCTACAGGGTAGGGATCAGAAAGCATCCCTACCCTGCTGATATATATCTAGTCATCATATTCATAGCCCCCCCAGTAGAAAATTCCACCAGCCGCCACTGTAAAACACAATAGTATTGTTAATACACTGCACAGTTGGAAATATTATTTGTAATCTATTGTTTATAGTCAGGCTGTTTATTCTACTGAAGTCTTTTCATACGGAACAACATATCGTTCAACAAAGTCAAATCCAAAATGTAGAAATCCTTCAGCTACAATTGTCCCGGGATTATGTCAAACATCTCGCTTCATGAGCACACATCTCGTCTCGTCTCACCCCTTTACAATCAAGGAATGAATGATTATAATGATAGATCATTTATTCCCTCGAAGTTAAAGGAACATAATGCATATTAGGTGATTAGTCTATGAGAGTGTTTCTTCCTATTCTTCCTCGAGGAGGAGAACTTACAAGCGATCCGGATGTAGGATTTCTGGCTCTTCTGGGTTCCGGTGGTGCTCCAGGCCACACACTGACACCAGTACTCGTCCAGACCAAAGACCTTTTCCACCTGCTGTCTGGTGATCTCGATTGTCACCTGCATCACAGGCAGCACTGCGAAGACAACATGAAAACAGCCATTAGGAGAGGAGGAAAAGCAACTGCATCATCAGCACAAACATTTCTTTGAGCCCGGCAGAATCTGGGATTTCTTAAGTAACCTCAAACTACACGCACAGAAGGCCATGATCATATAAAACAAGCTTGTTAGCTGGGGAAAATGAGAAGAAAGTCTCTGCGAGGCTACACTCACTCTAATTTGGAGGACGTTGAAAACAACAATAAGAAGTAACAAAGAAAAAGTGTTTTTACAAAACATAACCGTACGGTAGCAGGAGATTAGTTATTATGGAAAACATATTGTGCTATGGACAGCTGAATACTTAAAATATATGGCATAAAGACAAGAAAAAACTGACAAGTACCATTAGTAAAAAACTGTCTGAAAGGCTTGCCCTTGACAAAGTATTTTTTTTTGAAAAATACAGATATATTTCAGTGGCATACAATAAAAAAAAGGACTGCTAATGAAAATTGACAGAAAAGAAACATAACATGTTGACATTATTTTAAACAAGATCTGATTTTGGTAATGAACTCATAATTTTTTAAGCATTCTCAAAACAACTGAATTGATAAATGAGACGGTGAAATAACGATAACAACAAAAATACATTGGTGGGACAAAATGAAATGATGATGTTTTTTTATTCTCTATTTTAACAAAACAAAAATTTCCATTTCCATAGTGAATTGTTTTCCACCAAAAACTCGGGTCCAGATTTTTTACTGACGGGGTGCTTGCGAATTCTTTCTTCTAATTAAAATGTTTCTGAGATTCAAATGGAATCCTTGATGGATTTCATTGCACAGATGTCTCTATGATGCGACAAACACAAGGTTTGTTTCAACTGAAGCTTTCAATCAATATTTTGGATTGCAATGTAGTTTCATTTTTATCATTCATATTTTTGTCGAAACTATGGGGCTCTGTAATCATGAGGTATTTTGGATATATTGAACAGTGAAAGAGATCTTAGCACCACATGGACTCGTTCGTTTTGTTATCAACCTGAAATATAGTTATACAGATGTGTCATTAGAATGTTGTTTTTAAGTTATAATTCTATTGAATTATATGTGGCTCCAGAAATCCTACAGTGTGGTTTTGTATGTTAAAGCTGCACTAACTGACTTTGGGATTTTGAAGCCGCGGATGGCCTCGCTCTTTCTGCTCCCCTCCCCCGCACCCACGAAGCTATCGGCCCACTGTTGGGACGGAGCTAGCATCTCCCAATATGGATAATACATGGACATGGATTTGCACGTGAATGGCGTGACCATAGAACGATAGAACCGGGAAGCGCGGAGGAACGAGACTTTCTTTAGGATGGCTGTTTCGCTGTGTAAGCAGTAACAGCCAGGTTAGCTCTGCCGCTTGTTGTGCTAACTCAGCCGTCTATGCTAACGGACCTGTAGATTTCTCACGAAAGTGGGGGCTAGTGGTCCGCTGTGATTGGTCTGTTCCTTGTTTCATCAAAACTCGATCTAAAATATAATGTTACGCCAGCACAAACCTGCTCTATTTTTTCTTCAAAAGGACGTATCCCAATGCACTGCATGGACATGGATAGCACTTTCGTAATGAATACAAAAATAAAGTCAGTTAGTGCAGCTTTAATACATTTTGCCAAGAGGAGGCATGGGCCTTGTTTGAAGTTGGGGTTTTGGTTTACTATTTACATGTAAACAGGAGGGTTGATTTACACGGTAATAAGGTCTTGTCTCATTGTTCCTCTGTTTTCTGTTGGTTCCATCTTTCATGTTGAAGGTGTGTCCTTGGTCAGATTTTCTCTGGACTAGGCCATACTCAGTGCACTGTTTCCTCGTCGGAAGACAATCAAGTATAAAGAATGTCCGGACTAATTTTTGTGAGCGATTTTGTCCAGCTTCAACTGTAGTTCATAATCAGCATTCACAAATTGGCAATGTAATTCCTGGTATTTCTTTTCCTTGTGTGATTTTCGTTTTTCACTTCTTTCACGTCTTTGGGACCATATAGAAACAGAGCGAGGTTGCGACCCTTCATACGAGTATTGTACAGTCACAGAGCCTGGTGTATATTTAAGAAACGAATGGAGCGCCACTTCTCAACAACCATTTTACATAAAAGCACTTTGTGACACTTCCCCACTCCCCTTCAACACTTGATCCGTCTGCAGTGATCATTTCCAGCTACTGGGTGACGCCGACTCAAGCTTGACTAAGTGCCACCTATCTGACCATCAACCTCATACAGCAATTACAAAGAGAACTGGCAGCATCAAACTGCAATATTTTTTTTGATTTTCTTATAGTTCTGAGGTTAGTGCGCACGTATAGTTGAAGACATGAGCTGTGAGTGGACCGAGCGCCAGCAGGCATGGGGCGGTAAGTGGCAGGAGGAGGGTGGGTTCCAGACTTTAGGTGCATTAGGGTCTAAATGGGGATGATTTGGCTGCTGTGTTTGGTGGAGGAAAATCAAAGTGCATGTGCAGAGAATCCTGCCCTGAAGCAACGGTATCAACAAACATGCACACGCGATGGAACTGTGCAGAGGTGAAAAGCAAACAGGGGAAGATCAAACAAAAGCATTGTTGTTCAATTGAGTTACTGGAATTATTAGATTGGAAAAGAGGGTTGATTGTTGTTTAATTATTCTGTTTAATTTGGGCAATTATAGTTGTGCTTGAACGTTTACACAGCCAGACAAAGACTTCATTGTTTTGCTCATATTTTGGAGATCATGAACAATGACACAAATACTTTCCCCCCCTCTCATCGTTAGTGGATGTCAAATGTGTTTTCTATTTCCAAATGACTCAACTCAACACAAGGTCATTGAGCCGAAGCGGGGAGAGCTCAAATATGTATCAGAATCAGAATCATTTTTATTGCCACGTAAGTAACAGGAAGTCACAGAGTTGGAAATTGCTTTGGCTCAGTGCAACAGTCAGAATGAGTGGTAAAGGTAGAGAGGGCATAATAAAAAAATAAAGAATAAAAAACACTGCTAAGGAATACATTTCAAATTTTAATTTAAAATAGAGTTACAGTTACTATTTACAATATACAAGTGCACATGGTGCACACAATGTAAGGTGACAGCAGTACAGTGAAGTAAAGTGACGTATGATGGGCAGTAAAGTGACTTTATAAAGGGCGGGGGGACAGGTTAAGAAGTGTTCAAGAGTCCAACAGCAGAGGGGAAGAAACTGTTCTTGTGGCGGGAGGTTCTAGTCCTGATGGGCCGCAGCCTCCTGCCTGAGGGGAGTGGTTGGAATAGTCCATGTGCAGTTGTTGTTGCTGTGTGTTTGCTAAGCACAATGGGTGGCTTCTACATGAATAAATACATTGTCCTTGTTGCTATGTTAATAAATAATCCTCGCTTGTGAGAAATATTCACACACACACACCAGACTCATACCAAACAATGTGGGTGAAGTGTCTTGCCTGAGGACACAGCATCAGTATGACACTTTACGGCTGCTTTCACTGTGGCACCTGGAGTTCCCAGAGGTCTCCCATCACAACACTAACCAGCTTTGTTTGTTTGTTTGTTTGTTGATTCATTTCAGGCATTTCAAGTCACCTCTTGTCCATCATAGTTTCCAACAAAAAAAACAATAAAGCATTGCTAACATGCATCAGAGGGAAAAAAATTAAATATATAAACCAAAATAGTTGCCTGAAAGGGAATGGGAAGAAGAAAACTAGCTTAGAGATTAGCTTAGCTCGTGAGGTCTGTCGGGTTCAGGCTTTCACATGCAGGTGGCGCCAATTAAACAATATTCTGACCTGTTTAATGTCAGAATATTAGCTGCAGAACAAACAAAGTCAGTGGCAGCTCAGAGCCCGTCGTTACAGTGAGGCATCAGCTGCAGGGTGAGGTTAAAGTTCCAATCTTAACCATATCCTCGCATTTAAATTAATGACAGGGTGAAACATTCTATACAGCAACAATAGAAACATTAAACACCCCCAATTTATGGTGAGCCCTCCACAGTTTAGCCGTGCACAATCATGAAGAGGAGATTTGAATGCAAAGCGGGGAATAAGCCGTGTTCAGAGCCTGGGTGTGCGTCACTTCTTACAGTAAAAATGCATTTGATTCATGAAAACGCTGCGATTCTGAGCCAGTGTCTGCGAGGAATAAAGATCAGTATGAAGATGCAAGCTTGAACAATAGGAACCCGAGGTGAGGAATCCGAAGAAGAGCCATTTGAGACTCAGCTCGGCCGCATAATTGCATTCTATTTTTCCTTATCGCTTTCTGTCTCCATAATTACCTGCTTTCTGTGTCCGACACCTTCCAGTTACACTGCTGTGAGTCTCTCTGTCCAATTTCGCTCCAATTAATAAGAAGGACAATCAGCTTATCAATTGGGAACAAAATGGCTGTGCTCTTCTATTGCGGTTAATAATTATTGGGCAAACCTTTGTTTACTGTTGTTCCTCAGGGTGACGCAAAAAAAAACAAAAAGCTTGGTGTCACTTGGAAACCTTTTTCAAAATCACGGCCGGTCTCAAAAGTGATTACAATGTGGCTTGGTTTAAATGTGTCATTTATTCTGTTATGAATGGACCCAGTTTTCACACAGACAAACGTGGACGGAAAAGAATGTGGAGAGAGAATGTGGAACTGCACGAGTTTGGGATTTCTGTTGGAATCGTGCTGGGTTTATTTATGAGATTACACAGCACAACTATATTAGACCTTCACTGTTGGACCAAACTATTATGAGAGCTTTGAGGGGGATAATGATCAGCGAACATAACAAAACCCACTGAAAGAGAAATAAAGAAAAAATAAGTCAAAATAGTCTTTTTTACTGGGTAATAGGGAGCAAGTTCAGAAATTCTGAAGGCTCTCATTAAACACAAATACTCCCAACTCTAACTAGTTATTGGCAACTGAAAAAAAGCCCCAGAAATGACCAACTTTTTAATATAAATCTGGAAAAAAATGCTGTTAAACATAAGGATTTATAAATCTGGAGACAG